GCTCCCCGCAGCGCCTGGGCCGGGCGCGGCTGAGGGGAGGAGACTGCGGGGGGCGGGTTAACAGTGCACCAGGCCTTTGAAAGCCTCAGCCGGCCGCGAAAGAGGGGGGAACCCAGCGACTTCTTAATGCGCTTGAGGCGCGACATGGCGGCGAGGCGTAAGAGTCCGGGCGGTCCAATGTGTATGGGGAAGAGGGCGGAGCTAGAGCGGCCTGGATTACCATTAGGTTATAGTCGGAGACTACATTTCCCATGCTGCGCCGGGAACCGGAAGCACCTCGGCGCCAGTGCGCAGGCGCAAAAAAGCCCCCTCTGGTTATATAAGAGAGATCCCGGACTGACACGTTCTTTTGCATCCACCTCGCCTTCTATTCGGCAGCTTTGGTTCCGTGCGTCATCCTCATCCGATGTCATCCCGCCTCGGGAACTCGGGGTTATTACTGTGTGTGGTGAGTTGAGATCTACTGTTTTCCCTTCGATATCTCCGTTCCTCCCTTTCCATCTCCCCTGCTCGTGGCTCCTCTTGCCCTGATCCTAATAGGCCTAGGGCCGTGGGTGAGATCACTTAGAGCTGGAAAGACCCACGCACGGACCTGAGGAGTCCTTGGCTGGTGAAAATGATGACTTTACTTTTTTCCCCATCTAATCGACCATGTTGATGTCTTTGAATACTTGCCAGTTGGTTCTGATACACCGGCCTCAAGAGGCCCGGCCATGTTCTTTTTCTACTGTGGGAAGATGGCGACTGATGCCCTTTCTCTGTTGTCTCGCAGGTTAGCGTGACCCAAAGGTACAGAATGGATCTTGAAGGAAAGGCTCGTTGCGCGGCCTCCAAAGGAACCCCGTGTAGACATCGAGAACCTTTGGCCTCCTGACCTCTGGGGTAAGCTTTTGTCCCCTGGCCTGCTGGAGTAACCACGTGCTCTCGGGAGCTGCTTCCTTTGCTAGTGGAACTGGGAAATGAATTAACCAAAGCTAATTTGTACTCAGCATATATTAGGTATTTTTTAAAAGGGCTCTGAATGCTTTATTATAATCCTAAAAATGTAACTATAAGACCTATGTTGCTGAAGAAACAGATTTACAGTTGTGGTAACAAACCTCTAGTGCAGCGGTTCTCAACCTGTGGGTCGCGACCCCTTTGGGAGTCGAACGACCCTTTCACAGGGGTCGCCTAAGACCATCGGAAAACACATAATTACATATTGTTTTTGTGATTAATCACTATGCTTTAATTATGTTCAATTTGTAACAATGAAAATACATCCTGCATATCGGGTACTTACATTACGATTCATAACAGTAGCAAAATTACAGTTATGAAGTAGCAATGAAAATAATTTTATGGTTGGGGGTCACCACAACATGAGGAACCGTATTAAAGGGTCGCGGCATTAGGAAGGTTGAGAACCACTGCTCTAGAGCATTTGAGTTTGAGCCAAAGGTATGACAGGGAAGCAAAATCTCAGTGGATTCAGATTGGCAGTTTTGCAACTTTATACATTAGAGCAGCGATTTTCAAGCTTTTTAATCTTGGTGGCACACATAAACTAGTTCTTAAAATTTTGCGGCACATCAAAAATTTTGTCATTTTAACAAAATAGGTGTAATTTTGATTCAGTCACACAGGACAGCTATTGTTCTTTGCTCTTGTCTTTTTTTTTTTAACCGATATCAGAGGAAGGGAGCAGGATAGAGAGATAGAAACATCAGTGATGAGAGACTCATTGATCGGTTGCCTCCTGCACGCCCCCTACTGGGGATCAAGCCTGCAACCCGGGCATGTGCCCTTGACGGAATGGAACCTATCTTAGAAATTCCTTTGGCATACTGGTTGAAAATCGTTGCGTTTGAATTAAATGAGATGACAAATCTCTAGGATTGAACAAAGGCTAAGTGCAGAAACACAAGAACAGCCCATAGAGATGGTATTTGGGGAACAAGCTAACAGTGAGGGATTATTTTTTTTAATGTTTTTATTGATTTTTGAGAGGGGGAAGTTGGCTGCCTCCTGCACCTCCCCTAGTGAGGATTAAGTCTGCAACCTGAGCATGTTCCCTGACCAGGAATCAACCGGCCACCAATTCCCATGTGCCTAACTCAACTCTTGAGTCCAGGATTGACGCCCCTAAGGGCAGGACTTTTTCAGGAACATGTTTTTCTTAAACCTTGATGTTCCCAGGTTTTTAGTGATAGCACCTTGCATTAAAATGTAACATCCTGACATGAGACTTAGTCAAAACACTGCACAAAAGCCAACTCTTTCCAGCCACACAGGCCTGTATCAAATATAAGTTCAGAAGGTATGTTTATCTTAGCTGCTGTTTTCTTATTTCCAACAAATGGGACACGTGCTCAAATATAGCATGAATTTTTTAAGTGCAGAAGTAAACCAACAAAATCTTATTCCTGGTTCAGGGCTTTGTGTAAGTCCCAGAGCTTTCTACTGGCATATATGATGACTGAACTTTTTTCCCCGGCAGATCGACCGTGGTGATACAGCTTCTCTAAGCCAGTTTTATCTGATATGCCAGTTTGAGCAGCTCTTTAATCCCCTGCTTCCTTGGGCATTTAGTTGATTGGTGGCCCTCATGTTCCATGTTTTTCCCCAGGTTTACTGTTGGCAGAAAGCAGACTTTGAGTGGATCAAGATAAATCCAGGCATGGGGAAATGAAGTGCCCCTGCTCACATGGCTGAATAGACATAGAATCCGGAGAATGGAGGAGGTAGTAACTGCTTTCCTTTTGAATGGCTATCCCCTTTGCTCTTTTCTGTGGCTCAACTATGGCCATTGCAGCTGATGACATAACTTTTTTCCCCATCAGATCGACCCTGTTGATCTAACTAAACTATTTGCCAGTTTTTGTCTGATGCATTGGCCCGAGAACTTTTAGCCCAGTTTTCCAGACTACTTTCTATATGTGGGTGTGATTTTCTTTTTTTAAGTGGGGATTGGGCTCTATGGAGTGTTTTTTGTTTTTCCCGCAGCATATACACGTCATTTATATTTGCTTCATCTTTTAACTTCATGCAGGTCAGGAACCCTGTGTGCCATTGGTCAGAAAGATTGATTATAGTCGGATCTTCTCCTTGGCTTGGTTCAGTCTGTCCAGTAGCAGGTAAGGTTTCTGCAAATGGTATCAACCCCCTAATGAAATGACTATTAAATGTGCTCAGTGTAGAGGAGTGTTGAGTTTGCTCACTTGGGACTAACCTGGGGACCCAGTTTCAAGTTGGGCATATAAAACAAGAGTGGAGAATAAAGTCCTCAATAGAAGACTATTGACCTATTGGTACTACTAGGTCTTTTAAGACAAAAATGTCTGCCTCCTGTCCCCATTTTCAAACAATAGCACCCCCTTTATCCTTTATTAATGATCACTCATTAAATATAAAATGTTTACTGTCTGTAGTTTTTGCCATGTATTACATATCTCTGAGGCTGAACATTTTGACATAGTTTATAATATAGACTTCATTGAGGTGCAGAAGAGACAGGTCATCTCAAGAGATAGGAAATCTTGGTCATCGGTAATTGTATGTCTGTTCCATCTGATTCCTAGAGTTTTAATCAGATACTCCTAAATCCCACACAAGTAGCACTTCAGAATTTACTGATTGTAATCTCTCTTTTTTTCTAGTTTCTGGCCCATGGAGTTTGAAATACAAGTCCTCTTGGGGAAGACTGACCCTGTATTTTCCTGATAAAACATAATAAATTTTGTAGGCTTCCTATCTGGAGAAGGAAAATAAAAAGTTTTTTAAATCAAAATGCTCTTGGATTTGGTCTTTGGGGATTAAGAAACACTGAACAAGGGTAGTGACCAAATCTCTACAGTCTTCACAGTGTTAGGAGGCAAATCCCACACCTGTACATTTATGCAGGCATTTAAGTTTTTAGTATTTATAGAAAATTCATCTATAAAGTGGGTATGAGATTCCCTTACTCTTATACTGTGAGGATCAAATGAGATCTCAAAATGCTTAGTGTAGCACTTGGCATGGCCTAAGTGTTCAATTAGTAATGGCTGTCTTCATCTGTATATAGGAATGAACTGGTTACATGGGACAACTTGATACATTGCATACACATTACCCTGAGGGAGGAAGCCAGTCTCAAATGCTTGCATACTCATTACCTTGACATTCTGGAAAAGGCAAAACTTACAATGGTGGGGAACATCGTCGGAGATAGCCAGAATAGGAGGGGTGTGTAAAAAAGCAGTGGTTTTCAAACTTACAATGGTGGGGAACATCGGAGATAGCCAGAACTATAGGGGGTGTGTGTAAAGCAGTGGTTTTCAACCTGTGGGTCGCGACCCCTTCACGGGGGTCGCCTAAGACCATCGGAAAACGTTTTTGTGATTAATCACTATGCTTTATGTTCAATTTGTAACAATGAAATTGGGGGTCACCACAACATGAACTATTTTAAATATTTTATTGGTTTTTTTTACAGAGAGGAAGGGAGAGAGATAGAGAGTCAGAAACATCGATGAGAGAAACATCAATCAGCTGCCTCCTGCACATCCCCCACTGGGGATGCGCCCGCAACCCAGGTACATGCCCGGGACCCCCCAGTCCGCAGGCTCCATCCACTGAGCCAAACCGGTTTCGGCAACATGAACTTTAAAGGGTTGCAGCATTAGGAAGTTTGAGAACCACTGGAAAGTAATAGCATGAGGTTTTTTTTTGCGGGGGAGAGGGGGTTATTGTCACATTTTATATATATGTTCTAAAGTATGATTCCGTGCTAAGACTTGGATAGCCTTAAAGATATCCTTAAAGTCAGCCAGTCACAAAAGAAAGTATCATTCCACTTATATGAGGTACCTAGAGTAGTCAAACTCCTAGAAACAGTTAAAAATAGGTGGTTGCCCCAGGAGTGGGGATGGAATGAGAAAATGGAGAGTTCAATGGGTAGAGTTTCAGTTTTACAAGAAAGTTCTGGAAATTGGTTGCATAACAACTCACTGGACTATACAGGTTAAAATAGTAACTTTTTTTTTTAAATATTGATTTTTTTTTACAGAGGGAGAGGGATAGAGAGTTAGAAACATTGATGAGAGAATCATTGATCAGCTGCCTCCTGCACACCCCATACTGGGGATGTGCCTGCAACCGAGGTACATGCCCTTGACTGGAATTGAACCCGGGATCCTTCAGTCCACAGGCTGACACTCTATCCACTGAGCCAAACCAGTCAGGGCGATAGTAACATTTTATATTGTGTGTATTTTTTTTTTAAATATATTGATTTTTTAGAGAGGAAGGGAGAGGGATAGAGAGTTAGAAACATCGATCAGCTGCCTCCTGCACAGCCCCTATTGGGCATGTCCCCGCAACCGAGGTACATGCCCTTGTCTGGACTCAAACCTGGGACCTTTCAGTCTGCAGGCCGACGCTCTATCCACTGAGCCAAACTGGTCGGGGCAATTGTGTGTATTTTTATCACAATTTTTAAAAAAATGTTCAAGGGCAATGATAAACTCTGGTAATATGGAATGAGCAATATCTATAGTGTTAACATAAAAAGTAACTTTCTGCCCTGGCAGGTTTGGCTCAGTGGATAAAGCCTCGGCCTGGGGACTGAAGGGTCCCGGGTTCGATTCCGCTCGAGGGCATATGCCCAGGTTGTGGGCTCGATCCGCAGTGGGGGGCGTGTGGAGGGCAGCCAATCAATGATTCTCTCTCACCATGGATGTGTCTATCTCTCCCTCTCCCTTCCTCTCTGAAATAAAAAAAAAAAAAAAGTAACTTTCTGTGACTCAGAGACAAGAATTTCACTCAAGTAACTCCTCTTAGAGCTGGTCCCCTCTGGTTTTTACTCATGAGTCTACTAACATGACTCTTCAGGAAAAATGTTCAAGGGCAATGATAAACTCTGGTAATATGGAATGAGCAATATCTATAGTGTTAACATAAAAAGTAACTTTCTGCCCTGGCAGGTTTGGCTCAGTGGATAAAGCCTCGGCCTGGGGACTGAAGGGTCCCGGGTTCGATTCCGCTCGAGGGCATATGCCCAGGTTGTGGGCTCGATCCGCAGTGGGGGGCGTGTGGAGGGCAGCCAATCAATGATTCTCTCTCACTCAGCTGCCTCCTGCACAGCCCCTATTGGGCATGTCCCCGCAACCGAGGTACATGCCCTTGTCTGGAATCAAACCTGGGACCTTTCAGTCCGCAGGCCGACGCTCTATCCACTGAGCCAAACTGGTCGGGGCGACTAACATGACTCTTCAGGAAGAAAAGTGTTTGCCTCACCTGTTTATGGCTTAAGGTATATTTGGCATTCCATCCTGAGGAAAAATCACTTCCCAACTGTGTGACCTTTGAAAATCATGTAATTTTTCCTTGCCTCAGTTTTCTTACCTGTAAAATGGAACTCATACAAAATGAGTCTCACTGGATGGCTGCAAAAATTCAGTATGAAAAATATCTGGCATGGCCCTAGCCAACTTGGCTCAGTAGATAGAGCATTAGCCTGCTGACTGAAGGGTCCCAGGTTCGATTCCAGCCAAGGGCACATGCCTGAGTTGCAGGCTCAATCCCCAGTAGGGGGCGTGCAGGAGGCAGCCAATCAATGATCCTCTTATCATTGATGTTTATTTCTCCCTCTGAAATCAATAAAGAAATATGTTTTAACAAATATATATATACACACATATATATGGCATGAAATCTCAATAAAGATGCTCAGAAAAAAACTACCAAATGGACAAACACTTAATGGCCACCAAAGATATTAGCAAAATAGAATGATTATTGGAGTTGGCAATTTAATGTCAAGCTTATTTAATTTAACCATGGGGTGCTGCCACTAGGGCTTTTTTTAAAATCTAGAAAAAGTGAAAAAATTGAGTTCTCTTTCTTTTTAGATCCATTTAAAATAATTGTGTGTTTTTTTTCTCCTGCCTCCCTTCCCCCTTTTAAATCTTCCATATGCTGAGTCCCTAATTAAGCAAATGAAAACCTAGGTTGAGAAGTTCTCCCAAGTGAAAATCTTCTAATTTGCTGATTATTATTGGAAAAGTTGGCCAGTGATGGAACTCAGCTGAGGTCAGAGAAAAGGCCTCAGCCTAATATTATTTGTCCAAGCAATACATTATCTGATGCCAAATCCCAAGCTCTTAATAACTCTTGATGCAAAAGAGTTTGGGTGAGATGCGCCTAACCTAAAGAAGATGCTAAAGAAACCATCCCTACAGGAGCACTGGATTGTTTAAATAATTTTTTATCCTAAATCTCTAAATAGTAGCGCCTGGTAGTTTAGCAGTAGTGTAAAGTCAGGCAATGAATGTAAATCACTAAAAAGATGGCTAGAATGTGGCAAATACTCACAAAATAATCTATCATTTTTATTTCTAAGCTTTAGTTTTCTTATGGGTAGAAAGGTAACTTAGGATCTCTAACGCACAGCGTTGGGAGGATAAAAGAAACTGGTTTGTAATTCTCAAGTCCTGTGCAAATATTAGTCAGTGTTCCTGGCTCTGGCATTTACTAGCTGGGTGAGTTGGAAAAGTTACATAACTTCTTTGTGCCTATTTTCTAATAGAAAAATGGGATAATGCTAATTGTACCTAATTCATAGGGTTGTTGTAAGAACTGTATGCAACAATATATGTAAACCTCTGGCACTTAAAGACTCAATAACAGTAGTTGCTTTTATTATAAAACTAGAGGCCTGATGCACAAAATTTGTGCACTCGGTGGGGGGCCCCTCAGCCTGGCCTACACCCTCTTGCAGTCTGGGAGCCCTCAGGGATGTCCAACTGATGGCTTAGTCCAGCGGGCCTATGCCGGCAGTCGGACATCCTTAGCACTGCCACGGAGGCGTGAGAGGCTCCTGCTACTGCTGCTGCGCTTGCCAACTGTGAGCCCAGCTTCTGGCTGAGCAGCACTCCCCCTGTGGGAGTGTACTGACCACCAGGGGGCAGCTCCTGCGTTGAGCATCAGCCCCCTGGTGGTCAGTGCGCATCATAGCGACTGGTCATTTCACTGTTCGGTCGATTTGCATATTAGCCTTTTATGCCTGCGGGATGGGGCCAAAACTGGCTCTCTGACATCCCCCAAGGTATCCTGGATTGCGAGAGGGTGCAGGCCAGGCCGAGGGACCCCACCGGTGCACGATTGGTACCAGGGAGGGACGCGGGAGGTTGGCCAGCTGGGGAGGGACTGCGGGAGGACTCCAGGGCATGTCTGGCCCTTCTCGCTCAGTCCTGATCGGCCAGACCCCAGCAGCAAGTTAACCTACCAGTTGGAGCATCTGCCCCCTAGTGGTCAGTACACATCATAGCGAGCAGTTGAGTGACCTTAGCATATCATTAGCATATTATGCTTTGATTGGTTGAATGGACGACCTGACACTTAGCATATTAGGCTTTTATTATATAGGACTAGAGGCCCGGTGCACAAAAATTTGTGCACTCGGGGGTCCCTC